ATTGACTGCAACGTAATTTGAAACATTGGTTATGCATTTAAGTAAAAATAACAAACTAACACTATTATTTAATTTTTACGATTTGAAACATAATTTTTACAATGGATCTCATTGACTGCAACGTAATTTGAAACATTGGTTATGCATTTAAGTAAAAATAACAAACTAACACTATTATTTAATTTTTACGATTTGAAACATAATTTTTACAATGGATCTCATTGACTGCAACGTAATTTGAAACATTGGTTATGCATTTAAGTAAAAATAACAAACTAACACTATTATTTAATTTTTACGATTTGAAACATAATTTTTACAATGGATCTCATTGACTGCAACGTAATTTGAAACATTGGTTATGCATTTAAGTAAAAATAACAAACTAACACTATTATTTAATTTTTACGATTTGAAACATAATTTTTACAATGGATCTCATTGACTGCAACGTAATTTGAAACATTGGTTATGCATTTAAGTAAAAATAACAAACTAACACTATTATTTAATTTTTACGATTTGAAACATAATTTTTACAATGGATCTCATTGACTGCAACGTAATTTGAAACATTGGTTATGCATTTAAGTAAAAATAACAAACTAACACTATTATTTAATTTTTACGATTTGAAACATAATTTTTACAATGGATCTCATTGACTGCAACGTAATTTGAAACATTGGTTATGCATTTAAGTAAAAATAACAAACTAACACTATTATTTAATTTTTACGATTTGAAACATAATTTTTACAATGGATCTCATTGACTGCAACGTAATTTGAAACATTGGTTATGCATTTAAGTAAAAATAACAAACTAACACTATTATTTAATTTTTACGATTTGAAACATAATTTTTACAATGGATCTCATTGACTGCAACGTAATTTGAAACATTGGTTATGCATTTAAGTAAAAATAACAAACTAACACTATTATTTAATTTTTACGATTTGAAACATAATTTTTACAATGGATCTCATTGACTGCAACGTAATTTGAAACATTGGTTATGCATTTAAGTAAAAATAACAAACTAACACTATTATTTAATTTTTACGATTTGAAACATAATTTTTACAATGGATCTCATTGACTGCAACGTAATTTGAAACATTGGTTATGCATTTAAGTAAAAATAACAAACTAACACTATTATTTAATTTTTACGATTTGAAACATAATTTTTACAATGGATCTCATTGACTGCAACGTAATTTGAAACATTGGTTATGCATTTAAGTAAAAATAACAAACTAACACTATTATTTAATTTTTACGATTTGAAACATAATTTTTACAATGGATCTCATTGACTGCAACGTAATTTGAAACATTGGTTATGCATTTAAGTAAAAATAACAAACTAACACTATTATTTAATTTTTACGATTTGAAACATAATTTTTACAATGGATCTCATTGACTGCAACGTAATTTGAAACATTGGTTATGCATTTAAGTAAAAATAACAAACTAACACTATTATTTAATTTTTACGATTTGAAACATAATTTTTACAATGGATCTCATTGACTGCAACGTAATTTGAAACATTGGTTATGCATTTAAGTAAAAATAACAAACTAACACTATTATTTAATTTTTACGATTTGAAACATAATTTTTACAATGGATCTCATTGACTGCAACGTAATTTGAAACATTGGTTATGCATTTAAGTAAAAATAACAAACTAACACTATTATTTAATTTTTACGATTTGAAACATAATTTTTACAATGGATCTCATTGACTGCAACGTAATTTGAAACATTGGTTATGCATTTAAGTAAAAATAACAAACTAACACTATTATTTAATTTTTACGATTTGAAACATAATTTTTACAATGGATCTCATTGACTGCAACGTAATTTGAAACATTGGTTATGCATTTAAGTAAAAATAACAAACTAACACTATTATTTAATTTTTACGATTTGAAACATAATTTTTACAATGGATCTCATTGACTGCAACGTAATTTGAAACATTGGTTATGCATTTAAGTAAAAATAACAAACTAACACTATTATTTAATTTTTACGATTTGAAACATAATTTTTACAATGGATCTCATTGACTGCAACGTAATTTGAAACATTGGTTATGCATTTAAGTAAAAATAACAAACTAACACTATTATTTAATTTTTACGATTTGAAACATAATTTTTACAATGGATCTCATTGACTGCAACGTAATTTGAAACATTGGTTATGCATTTAAGTAAAAATAACAAACTAACACTATTATTTAATTTTTACGATTTGAAACATAATTTTTACAATGGATCTCATTGACTGCAACGTAATTTGAAACATTGGTTATGCATTTAAGTAAAAATAACAAACTAACACTATTATTTAATTTTTACGATTTGAAACATAATTTTTACAATGGATCTCATTGACTGCAACGTAATTTGAAACATTGGTTATGCATTTAAGTAAAAATAACAAACTAACACTATTATTTAATTTTTACGATTTGAAACATAATTTTTACAATGGATCTCATTGACTGCAACGTAATTTGAAACATTGGTTATGCATTTAAGTAAAAATAACAAACTAACACTATTATTTAATTTTTACGATTTGAAACATAATTTTTACAATGGATCTCATTGACTGCAACGTAATTTGAAACATTGGTTATGCATTTAAGTAAAAATAACAAACTAACACTATTATTTAATTTTTACGATTTGAAACATAATTTTTACAATGGATCTCATTGACTGCAACGTAATTTGAAACATTGGTTATGCATTTAAGTAAAAATAACAAACTAACACTATTATTTAATTTTTACGATTTGAAACATAATTTTTACAATGGATCTCATTGACTGCAACGTAATTTGAAACATTGGTTATGCATTTAAGTAAAAATAACAAACTAACACTATTATTTAATTTTTACGATTTGAAACATAATTTTTACAATGGATCTCATTGACTGCAACGTAATTTGAAACATTGGTTATGCATTTAAGTAAAAATAACAAACTAACACTATTATTTAATTTTTACGATTTGAAACATAATTTTTACAATGGATCTCATTGACTGCAACGTAATTTGAAACATTGGTTATGCATTTAAGTAAAAATAACAAACTAACACTATTATTTAATTTTTACGATTTGAAACATAATTTTTACAATGGATCTCATTGACTGCAACGTAATTTGAAACATTGGTTATGCATTTAAGTAAAAATAACAAACTAACACTATTATTTAATTTTTACGATTTGAAACATAATTTTTACAATGGATCTCATTGACTGCAACGTAATTTGAAACATTGGTTATGCATTTAAGTAAAAATAACAAACTAACACTATTATTTAATTTTTACGATTTGAAACATAATTTTTACAATGGATCTCATTGACTGCAACGTAATTTGAAACATTGGTTATGCATTTAAGTAAAAATAACAAACTAACACTATTATTTAATTTTTACGATTTGAAACATAATTTTTACAATGGATCTCATTGACTGCAACGTAATTTGAAACATTGGTTATGCATTTAAGTAAAAATAACAAACTAACACTATTATTTAATTTTTACGATTTGAAACATAATTTTTACAATGGATCTCATTGACTGCAACGTAATTTGAAACATTGGTTATGCATTTAAGTAAAAATAACAAACTAACACTATTATTTAATTTTTACGATTTGAAACATAATTTTTACAATGGATCTCATTGACTGCAACGTAATTTGAAACATTGGTTATGCATTTAAGTAAAAATAACAAACTAACACTATTATTTAATTTTTACGATTTGAAACATAATTTTTACAATGGATCTCATTGACTGCAACGTAATTTGAAACATTGGTTATGCATTTAAGTAAAAATAACAAACTAACACTATTATTTAATTTTTACGATTTGAAACATAATTTTTACAATGGATCTCATTGACTGCAACGTAATTTGAAACATTGGTTATGCATTTAAGTAAAAATAACAAACTAACACTATTATTTAATTTTTACGATTTGAAACATAATTTTTACAATGGATCTCATTGACTGCAACGTAATTTGAAACATTGGTTATGCATTTAAGTAAAAATAACAAACTAACACTATTATTTAATTTTTACGATTTGAAACATAATTTTTACAATGGATCTCATTGACTGCAACGTAATTTGAAACATTGGTTATGCATTTAAGTAAAAATAACAAACTAACACTATTATTTAATTTTTACGATTTGAAACATAATTTTTACAATGGATCTCATTGACTGCAACGTAATTTGAAACATTGGTTATGCATTTAAGTAAAAATAACAAACTAACACTATTATTTAATTTTTACGATTTGAAACATAATTTTTACAATGGATCTCATTGACTGCAACGTAATTTGAAACATTGGTTATGCATTTAAGTAAAAATAACAAACTAACACTATTATTTAATTTTTACGATTTGAAACATAATTTTTACAATGGATCTCATTGACTGCAACGTAATTTGAAACATTGGTTATGCATTTAAGTAAAAATAACAAACTAACACTATTATTTAATTTTTACGATTTGAAACATAATTTTTACAATGGATCTCATTGACTGCAACGTAATTTGAAACATTGGTTATGCATTTAAGTAAAAATAACGATTTTAGCCACTAACCGGATTGCGAATTTTTATGGTGTCCGGTTGGCTTCGAATTCCGATTTTGAATTTTTATAACAATTTTCATTTCCAATACAATTTTCATTTCCAATACAATTTACACAAATTACATAAAATCGTTTTTTTCAAAAATTGTTTTTTTCAAAAATAAATTACACCACTCAGAATTTTTTACTAATTTGATTTGAGCACTCAAAATGTCAAAATTGATTTTGACCTCTTAGATTTTTACCTATAAAAAGGCCAACAGTTTAAGTTTTTCAAATCACACTCACAACTCAATCACTTACAATTACAATCACAAACAATATGAATTCTGGAGATTACAACTCCATAAATCTTGATGAAGTTGAATTCGTCATCGACGAAACACAAAGTGATCCATTCCAGGATCATAGTTCATATGTAGAGTTTGAAGACATTTCAACCGATTTCGGTAATCCGGAAGGAGGTTTTGCTAGTAGAGAGGACATGGATGCTCATGTAAGATATGTTGCTGGCTTGAGGAACGTTACTTTGGCAATTCGTGATTCGAAGGGAAAAGACGGCCGACGGCCCAAAGTTCGATATTTATGTAGCCAAGGTGGCGGATACAGACCAAAAAAGGTTACTGGAACTAGGTCCACTAAAACGACAAAAAATAATTGTCCATTTTGGTTGGACGGAATGGAGTACCCTGGAGGGCGCTGGTACTTTGAAGTCCGGGAGGGGAGACACAACCATCCATTCCCGTCTCATGCTGTGGGATCTCGTTTAGGTAAAATATCCCCTATTCAACTTGAAGTTATTAGGGAGCAAGAGAATTTTAATTTAAGCCCGAGTAATATGTTGGCGTCCATGAAAAGGGCTGATCCGGAGAACAAATCGTGTCAGAAACAAGTTTACAATGCTGTCAGTAAGGTGCGTGCCCAGAAAAGAGAAGGTCGGACCCCGATGAATAATTTCATCCATTTACTCAGGCAATTGAACTACATGTACGACGTTCGGACTGCTGATGAATCTTCCGAACTTGGAGATATTGTTTTCTGCCACCCGGCTTCTTTTGTGATGGTGAATGCATATCCGGAAGTCATGATGATTGATTGTACGTACAACACCAATGAGTATGACATGCCTCTACTAGAAGTGGTCGGTGCAACAAGTACGGACAAAATGTTCACTATCGCCTACGCATTCATGCGAAATGAGAGACAAGAAAACTACAGGTTTGTGTCTTAATGAATTTTAATTTTTGTCATATGTTTAAATTTAAAATTGTTAATTAACATTATTTAGTACAATTGTTTGTCAATGTTATGAATAATGTTAAATTGAATATTTAGGAGGAGTTAATATTGTTATGAACATTATTAGTATTGTTTAATTAGGAGTTATTATTTTTATGAACATTATTAGAATTGTTTAATTAGGAGGAGTTAATATTTTTATGAACATTATTAGAATTGTTTAATTAGGAGTTATTATTTTTATTGAACATTATTAGTATTGTTTAATTAGGAGTTATTATTTTTATGAACATTATTATATTGTTATTTTTTTATTGTTATATTGTTTAATTAGAACTTATTATAGTATTATTAGGAGTTGTTACTGTTATGAAAATTATTATATTGTTTAATTAGGACTTATTATAGTATTATTATTGTTATTAACATTGTTATTGTAGTATTGTCATTAATATTGTTATTATGTTAATTTGTTGTTATAAATTACAATTGACAATTATTTAGTACAGTTATTTTGTCCTACGTTTAAATTTAAAATTATTAATGTTATATTATTTTGCAGGTTTGTGTTACAGTTTATCCGTACTTTGTTCGTTAGTCAAGTGACACCTAATGTCATTGTAACCTACCGAGATTACGCCTTGATGCATGCTGTCGAGTATGTTTTCGCGGAATCCAGACATCATTTGTGTCGCCGTCACATTGAGCAATGCGTGCTACAACGAGCACTGCAGCAACCTGGTTTTTTAAAAGAGGCGGCAGAAGGATTTAAATTTCGTTGGAATTGGGCGATAAGTGCACCGACCATAGATGACTTTAATGATAGATGGGGACGTCTGGCAGCACATTACTCGAGTTGGGGAGCATTGCTGAACTACTGCATTGACACATGGATTAGTCCGCATTCCCAAAAAATCCTGTCAGCTTACATCGACCATTATTTTCACTTCGGAAGCTACACAACAAATAGGTAAGCCTTGTGAGATTTACGTGACTAAATAATCGTTACATGTAGTCAACATTAATAATTAATATTCAAGTTCAATTGGTAATGCAGGGTCAAAGGAGAACATCATCGCGTCAAACGACATTTAGATGGTGGTCGGTACCCATTCGATACCGTACTGGAGAAACTTCACAAGGTGATGGAAGGCCAAATCTGTGAGATTAAGAAAGTAGCGAGAGTTAATGCTACTAAATCCAACACAGACACCCTTGGAGATACGTTGTTTGTTAATCTGAACAGATCAATCACGTTTAAAGCATTCGGCCTCATAAGGAAAGAAATGCAAGTTTCACAAGAAATGAGTCAGGATCCAACAACGTGTGGTTGCTACCTAAGGAGAACTCATGGTCTACCGTGCGCACATGAGCTTC